ATTATTGACACTCGACAAGAGCGCAATTTGCAAATGAACCGGGAAAGACAGCAGAGATGGAAATCTCGACAGAGTCAAAAACTTTCCAGCATTTAGTGCAAAAAAAAAACAAAAACAAAAACTGAGGAGCAATCAGCATTACGTCCATGACAAACATATAATCGAGAATGTATATCAAATTCCTTGCGAAAAACCAATGAATTCGAATAACAAAGCACTATACATCGATTACAAGTGGATCAAAGAGATCGCAGATCAAGAGCACATAAGCGTCCATTAATTCCGAACCATGACATGTTCAATGAAGATAAAGTTGATGAGCATAGCTGTGAACCAATGAATTAACAGGGAGTCAGTTGTATTTCTTTTAATTTTGAAGCGGAAAAAAAAATCAATGAATAGAAATTTCAAGCATTTTTGTCACAAAAGAGCTGTTCTGTTGGAATTGGATAGTCAGCAGAGACATGCATTTCCTTTCTATACTCAAGAGCGTCTGAGTACTCCAGACCATGATCAATATAGCAAGTTTCATGACAATGGCCGATGTTAAATGACGTGTTAGCCTTTGGATCTATGGGAGCACAGCTCTATCATTTGAATGGACGCGGTCCATATGTTTTCAAAGTTCATGGACAAAATTTATCGCCGTACTGGTGACTCCACCCGGCTCCAGGAGAGGTCATGAGTACCCCGCTCATGTTGAACATCATTAACATGCGCAATTGTATATCATCGAATTTGGAATGGCAAATATTGATCGCCCACAGCATCCAGCAAATGAAAGGACAAAATCTAATATCGTCAATAAATTGGATTCTTTGATTGCGCAAGCTTAACGGAAGCGAGGTGAGGTGGAAAATAAAGAAGAAAAACTGGCAGTAGCAAACAATGAAGTTGTTCTGGTTGTCAATATGGCGTTTCTGCTGATAGACGACGCTATAATATGCCAACTCTTGATAAAGTTGCGATGATTTTTCAATAAGCTAATGACGAACCATCATCTGATAAAGTTGCGATGATTGTTCAATGAGCTAATGGCGAATCATCATCTGATAAAGTTGCGATGATTGTTCAATGAGCTAATGGCGAACCATCATCTGATAAAGTTGCGATGATTGTTCAATGAGCTAATGGCGAACCATCATCTGATAAAGTTGCGATGATTGTTCAATGAGCTAATGGCGAACCATCATCTGATAAAGTTGCGATGATTTTTCAATGAGCTAATGGCGAACCATCATCTGATAAAGTTGCGATGATTGTTCAATGAGCTAATCGTGAACCATCATCTGATAAAGTTGCAATGATTGTTCAATGAGCTAATGGCGAACCATCATCTGATAAAGTTGCGATGATTGTTCAATGAGCTAATGGCAAACCATCATCTGATAAAGTTGCGATGATTGTTCAATGAGCTAATGGTGAACCATCATCTGATAAAGTTGCGATGATTGTTCAATGAGCTAATGGCAAACCATCATCTGATAAAGTTGCGATGATTGTTCAATGAGCTAATGGCGAACCATCATCTGATAAAGTTGCGATGATTGTTCAATGAGCTAATGGCGAACCATCATCTGATAAAGTTGCGATGATTGTTCAATGAGCTAATGGCGAACCATCATCTGATAAAGTTGCGATGATTGTTCAATGAGCTAATGGTGAACCATCATCTGATAAAGTTGCGATGATTGTTCAATGAGCTAATGGTGAACCATCATCTGATAAAGTTGTGATGATTGTTCAATAAGCTAATGGTGAACCATCATCTGATAAAGTTGCGATGATTGTTCAATGAGCTAATGGCGAACCATATTCTGATAAAGTTGCGATGATTTTTCAATGAGCTAATGGCGAACCATCATCTGATAAAGTTGCGATGATTGCTCAATGAGCTAATGGCGAACCATCATCTGATAAAGTTGCGATGATTGTTCAATGAGCTAATGACGAACCATCATCTGATAATGTTTTTGATGATTTTTCAATGAGCTAATGGCGAACCATCATCTGAGCGTGATTTTGGAGTCTATCGTCGCAATTCCACTAATACATTTATTTAAATCAATTTATCTAAGACATCCAGGAGTTCAAGTCCAATGTGGAGATATAATTGTTGACAATCGCTTCATGGCATGACCGTGATGCTCAATGCTGTGCAGATCTTAAGACCGTCAATGGAGTTTTGGACGAAACATTTAAAGGTGTAGCAATAATGATGAACCTTCTTGAAGATGACGAGGAATAGGAATAATGCTTAGAAGAAGACAGGAAATTATGTATGCCACCTCAAATGTGACTGCCAATTGATTTTATCTGTGTCTTCAATTCACCACAAAGTCCATAGGCTTTGTTTGAGCAGTTCAAAGAATTTATCTTGCTGATTACATATGACACTTTAATGGATTTATTGCTAAGAAGAAAGAGCGATAAAACATTGAAATTCTGCTACGAATGCATGGAATGAAGTGTATCGATATAAACTTTCTCGATAATGGTCCAAACTGTTGATCATTTTTTGATGCCAAAGAACAAGCACAAAAAGATCACCATCTAATTTCAACGCTTTATCAAAGGAAAAAAAACAAATTTTTGCTAATATTGCAGCATCCATTGATGCTGTAAATGCTGAGTGACGCTTCTTCTTCCTCTATTGTCCTGGTTGTTCAGGTAAAACATATCTTTTAAGATGTGCTACGTAAAAGGACAAAAAAAAATTTGCTCAAGCTTTCACAACCAGAGGAATGCAGCAGATTTATTAGTAGGTGTCCGCACGGCACACATCTGTTTCAAAATTACATTCTTGGCCAAAGAGTCTTACATTATGAAAGTTCCATTTCTTGAATCCAGGAAACTGAAGGAAGGAACACTACTGTTCATCGATGAAGCATCGATGTTTTCCATACATTCTCTTGGAGTTATTGACCTATTGCTGGGACAGATAATGATATCAGACCATTTGGGGCAAAGTGATTATATTGAGTGGTGCTTTCCGACTAACGACAAATGTAGTTCCAAGAAGTACTGTTATGGACATTATGGAACTGTGCTTTAAAAAGTTCTCGAATGTGGCATCATGTTAAACAAAGAAGTTTGATCATGAACATTATTGTCATCATACGTGTTTTTCTATAGCCTGGTACCCGAGCCTAGGGCTGGGCTCACCACGCTGTACATACAATTTAACAAACATAATAAAAATCTGAAATAATTAATTGACATACATTAATTAAATAAAACAAAACAAATGTATATATAAAACTATTTACATCTCAAGCCATGGACGACACTCAGTATCATCGTTTTACGGTCAGAGGTGGGAATCAGTCAGGATAGTAGAGATTAAATAGATGTGTTTTGAGTGCAGTTTTGAAGGCTGTGATAGTCGGTATATTGCGGATGTGTAATGGAGGAGAATTCCATTGTTTGGGTGCACAGAAAGAGAACGATCGTTCACCGTATGTTTTTGTGCGAGTCTTGGGGACAGAAAGAATACGCGCGTCTGAGGAGGAGCGAAGCTATCGAAGGGGTGAATAGACAGAGAGTTGTTTGGTTAGATAGCAAGGTGAGGAATTCGAGAAAAAGTTGTGGCAGAGAACAGAGAGTTTGTAGTCAATACGTGCTTGTATAAGGAGCCAATGAAGTGAATGAAGTAGTGGTGTGACGTGATCACGTTTTCTTGCCTTTAGAATTAGCCTAGCCTTTCTGTCCAAACCCCCCCCCCCCAAAAAAAAACAACAACAAAAAACAACAACAACAAAAACAATCGAGTTTCAAATTTTTTAGCAATTTATAACTAACACAATTTACTGTATTTATTTCAGTCTTTTCTTGCCTTTAAAATTAGCCTAGCCTTTCTGTCCAAACCCCCCCCCCCCAAAAAAAAACAACAACAAAAAACAACAACAACAAAAACAATCGAGTTTCAAATTTTTTAGCAATTTATAACTAACACAATTTACTGCATTTATTTCAGTCTTTTATAATAATATGATTACTATTTGTCTACAGTCCATCATTACCCAGTGTTTTTAATGCAGCAATGTAATTGCCGCAATGATGCGACAAACTTTATAGTGCTCGTCTCTCAATGCGTGCACATGAGAATGAGACATGACTTTCAACAAAACTCTGCGAAAACATTCTCTTGACTGGCTTCCCGTGGAAGCTGGCTCATTGGTTTTGTCTTTCGTAACCTACTGTTCGGGATCCATGAATAATATTAAAATTAAAAACTAATTGAGAGGGGGTAATTATTGTTTTCTTTGATTAAAAAAAATGTAGACATTAATTTGAAAATTTGAAGCAATAAACAGTCATGCGTGATGAATTAATCGGATAAATAGGCCTACTTAAAAAAAAAACAAACACAGTGGGCCTGGTGTACCAGTTGCACCATGGTTAATGTGGCTCTGTGGAATCAATCATTCACGAATTACAAAAACTACGACCACAAGACATTTTAAAAAGTTTTTTGTTAAAAATTCATCATGGTCTGGTTTCTGGTTCCACATCGTGGCAGATAATTGTAACAATCTGCATTACATACTACAGTACTGAGTTATAATCTAAATAAGGCAACCGAATCTTTGAGTTTTTAAGAACTCATACAGTTCCTTTCCCTACATAGTTACCGGTAGTTACTATCTAACTCAGGGAGTAATCAGCGTTGCTGACACAAAATATTCACATCTCTCAAATCTACGTGGGAATGAGTCATATTCGTTTTTAGGAGGAGTTTGTTTGGAGGATATTATGCAAAAGTGACTAAATATAAACAACTAATTCTTTGGCTATTTAATGAGATGGACAGTACTAGGTAAATACCAAATTATAGCCTATGTGAATGTCATTATGAATAAATTAACTTTAAAACGATACTTACAAACTTCCCATCACAAAACATGTGATGATAAATTATTTATAAAAGTTTTATTTTCATTTGTATACACTTTAATAAAAAATAAATAAAAAAAAAAATTAAAAATTAAAAGAAAATCTTTTTTGGCGTTGTAGCTCTGGTTGAGCTATGAATTATTGTGCTGTGAATGTCACAAATATGGCCAGAACGTCTGCAAATCTGTAGGCTGAAATGATTTAGAAAATTTGAAGAAATTTTAGGACGTAAGCTAAAAACATATAGATATATATGTATATAAAAATATATATTTGTGTGTGTATGTGTGTGTGAGCGAGTGTGTGTATGAGTAAGTGTGTGTGTGTGGGAGTGAGTGTGTGTGTGTGTGTGTGAATAGGATTGATTATGTGGTGTGTGTGTGTGTTTGTGTGTGTGTGGTATCAAATGAGCTCTGCTTTGAAAGGTCTAAAACTATTTAAATTTCCAACTTAAAGAATGCTTTCGACCTTATAAAATACCAATTTACACACAATGTTTTTGTTAATAAAGTGTTCCATCTTTGAATGAATTATTATAAAATCATGTGCAAAGCAAGCTGAAGCTTTTATGGTTCGCGCAAATTATCCCCTGCCTTCATCGACTTTTGAAAAAGCTTGCAAAGTTGGAAAAAATTTTGAAAATATGTTGATTCCGGTCTCCCACGGGTTGTTTCCAGTTATTAATAATTAGCTTCCAGACTTTCAAAATGTCAAAATAGTATGCACGGACCCTCTTAGTTTTTTTTTTTTCCAAATCACAAGAAAATAATTGCTGGAAATTTTCACTTAAATTGAATCATATTTAGGGGTTTCTTAAGAAAGTTAAATTTTGGGTTATTTTAGTCTATATGTTGTTATGAGAAGACAGTGATACAAGAGTCATCAGTGAAAAATGGTGCATTTTATGGGCAGAGCATGTGAAAAAAGAATTTCAAGCAAATACAGTACCCCTGGTTGTGCACTGGAATGGAAAGCTTCTTATTAACCTCACTGTTAATGAAAATGTTGATCGACTATAGGTCATTGTTTACGATATGGAAATACATATTTAATAAATATGAATAAATATGTAAAAGGACCTTCTGTTCTGGGTTTGCCACCACAAAATCTGAGAAGGTGTTATGGCAGGTGTGAGTGGTAAGAGTATGGGAACTGCAGCCTCTGGTCCTCGTATACACCTGTCTAAGAGCTTCAAGCAATCATGCAGCACAATTAATAAATTTTCTTTGTGAAAGTAGTGCTACCAATGAAATAGTTAAGGGCTTTAAAGACAGGTTTAAGGACAATTTCAACTAGTGTAACACAGATACGATTACAAGGAATGTTTCGAGTCAGCCATCACATCTGTAGGAGAAACCCATCCATCCGTTGATGATGTACGACTCCTGGAGTTCTTCATCATACAAAATGAATGGCAAAAGCGTTATACTCTATCAAAGTTCCTTCAAAAACCTAATGAATATGAAAAAGGTAAATGCTACTTTCTACAGAATTTAATGATCACCTTTAGTATCTCAGTAAAGGGCTTGTGGGGTTGGAGATTTTTAACGAATCTCTGTAGTTGGAGTCAAAATAGGCAAGTGGGGAAGTATTTTTATGAAAACGAAGGAATTTAAGAACCCTCAACGCGATTTCAGATTATTTTTTAAAAGAAATCTTCTGTAATCAAAAAAAGATATAATTTGTTCCTAAACACTCGATGACTTTCTTCACGCGTTTGAACATTTCAACGATCTATCTAAAATCTGATCCTCAGACATGGAATATCACAGATGATTATAACAATTTTAAGCTAGGGAGATTGTGAAATCATAGACGTGATTAATGACGACAACGCAGAGAGAGAGAGAGAGAGAGAGAGAGAGAGAGAGAGAGAGAGAGGGGGTGGGAGAGAGAGAAATAGAGAGAGACGTGGCTCTCATTTTGATAGCATTGTAACAAAAGAGGAGGTAATAGAAACAAAATTTGCTGTAAGTAGTACAGGGACGTTATCGGCGTTTACCTGACAGCAAGAAAAACAACAGTTGACACTGATGTCACTTTGGACACGGAAAGACAGCCACTTAACGCTGAAAAGCATAACACGATTTTTATTCTAAAAATGTGTGAAGAGTTCCTTTGTCAATATGCTATTTTAAGTATTAGAAATAATTTGAACTACCTGTTGATAGTCAACACTATACTAATTAACGCTTTCGTATGTAGCCATGTAATAAAGAAACTTCATGGCTGTTACAAAAATCCATGATACTTAATTAACTTATTTAAAATAGTAGAAATTGTTATAGAACATAATATGGAACATAGGGTCCGACCATTGAAAATTTAAAGATTTTCCACCCCTAAATATTGGAACACCCCTCACTATCTCTATTTCAGAAAATATTTTAAATGAAAAAATAATATATGTTTAAAACGATTGATAAAAAATCGATGATCATTTTGAGAAAAAATCGCAACTCGGTTATTGGTTCTAAAACCTAAATTACAGGAAATTCATTTATCGTAACGGTTGAACATCCTTTCTCTTAATACATCGTATTGAAAAAATCAATTAAACAAATAAAATAAATGCATGCCATGAAAAAATTGTTCATTCAATGTGTTTCTAAATGTTTCAAAGCAATAACAAAAACAAACAAAAAAACCCACTCCACCCTAAGCCGGCATTCGTGTACCAGCATGAGGAAAATACAAGTAAATACTAAGGATTAAATAGAAATTAATAATTTCCATTAATTTTTGTATTAAAATATCAATAACTCAGAAATCACTGGCTCGCTTCCCCCGGCTGTTAGAAGATCCAATAATCTATTGAATTAAGGGCAGTGTAAAGCGTGCTGTGACAAACGATGGACAGTGTAAAGCGTGCTGTGACAAACGATGGACAGTGTAAAGCGTGCTGTGACAAACGATGGACAGTGTAAAGCGTGCTGTGACAAACGATGGACAGTGTAAAGCGTGCTGTGACAAACGTGATGATACTTGTGGTCCTTTCTGTTATAATTTACATTAAATTTGTTTAGTTTTAAGTTTATGTTAATATTTATGTGAAGTGATTAATCTCATTAGTTCTTATTTAATATAAGTTACTATATCACTGTTCCAAATAAATGGAAATCTGCTTTGATTACAGAACTAGACTAGCAGAATTTACCTATAAATATAAAGTTCTTGTCTTATTTTTGTATGGACATGGACATAAAGTTCTTGTCTAATTTTTGTACGGACATGGACATAAAGTTCTTGTCTAATTTTTAGGCCTTTAACAATATAAGATTTATTTAATGATTGTGCACTGCAGATGGCTGGTTATAATGTTAGTACACTTTGTTAGTGAAAGAGAAGTCAAATTTGGCCTATCTTTGCCTGTAAATTCTGTTGTTTTTTTTTGCAAATTACTGGGGCAATATGTTTGCAATCGTGTTGCAATGACAAAGTTCAAGTGTCATTTGCAGTCAAGATACATGATATTGAAAGCTTGGGAATACGATAATTTGAGAATTAGGGGCAAGCAAAGTGAGTAACAAAAATAACATCGCTGCTTGAACGGATTTGGAAAATCTGTAAAATCTATTTTGCATCACAAGTCATGTTGAAATAGCAAGCTCAACAGCATCGACAATGCATAAGAAATTACCACCTGCTCCTCAACAAAGAAGGTTTCGACTAATTTCAAGCGCCTTCCAGGAGACAGAGAGCTTATGACAATTATTGATCACACTGACAATGCTTCTATTCTATGTGTTGAATGGTTAGATAGGGGATGATGTTGAGACTTGTCTGGTATATCAGTTCCTCAAGATGAAAATGATAAATCAACTACTATGCTCATTGTTACGATAGAGCAACACCTGGCCACTCCCTGGGAACATGATAGCAGCTAGAAACTATGCTTCCATTGTCAGCTATACTGACACTAATCATACTTCTACTTCCACTAATAATGATATTTTGCCTTTAACCATCTTTTTATTGATTCTGCAATAGAAAACTTAAGTGTCAAAACTTTTTCATTGTTGGTTAACAAGTTAAAGAAGCAATAACATGTTTTTCCTACAATTTAGTGTTATTAAAATAGATGAGCGCAAAGTAAAATGTATTTGTATAGTTATTTACATAATAATTCAATTTATTTTTTTTTGTGTGGGGGAAGGGGGGTGTTATAAAAATGTTGACATAATTACTTGGGGGGGGGGGGGTCTTGGCAGTTTTGAAAGGTGTGGTAAGGGGGGGGGGGGTAAAAATTTCTTTAAAATTTGGGTCAAAAATTGCTTAAAAATTGTTGACGTAATTAATGGATGCCCCCCCCCCCCAAACCAAATCTACAATTTTACATAGCTTTCATGTCTTTTTCCCGTTTGGTTTTTTACATTTTACTTCAAAACAATTCCTTTCCTTTCTTCTTTACTTTGTCTTTGTCTGTGTTTTGCGCCCAGTCCTATTCTTTTCTATTTTTAGATAGGATATATATATAATATATATATAATGTAAATATAATTTATACTTATTTAAATGTTTTGTTGTTGTACTGATGAAGGGATTAGCCGAAAGGTTTACTTATGTATTATGTAAAATTATTATTTAAGCTGAACACATATTGTTCGGTAAATTTGGAGGGATATCACCGCTGCCGCCATCTTGGTTGCCGCGACTCGCGAACGTATGTCCTAAATGTTTCCCTTAACCTAACCAGAACCCTAAACTTATCCCTAACCTGGGTTTTTACCCTATCGGAACCAGGGTTTTGAACCTATTGGAACCAGGGACAAAACACTCAAATGACGCCAGGGTGCTATCTCTCCAAATTAGCCTATAGTTCTATTGACACAGAATGTTCGTGTCTAATTAATCTATTTTAAAGCTTTATCGCAATCCAAAACTCTTATAATTAGTTAAAAACATTAACCTGGGAGAGTTCCACTCAGTCTCACCATTGTGTTGCCAGAAGCGTAGATAAATAAAGGAAATTTTGTAATAGTAAAGTTCCAATATCCCGAGCACACATCCCAATTCGTATCTATGGTAAACATATACGTGACGTCAGTATCACATCCGGCATAAGAACCCTCTATTGTAAAACGACGAGCAATGCCATACGCAGTGTTGCTGAAAAAAACAACAACAACTGGTCAATACTATTTTCAACGCTACCTATATTATTTACAAAAAGGTGTTTTCACAGTTTCAAATCTAAATTTCAAAATAATTTTATAATGATCAGTGCCATTATCGATTCTGTTCTTTAATATTCATACAACTATGATGACATCGCACTTGCCCCCCTTCCTGGATTGATTGGATAAAAATTTTTTAGACAAAAATAGACAAAAAATGTATTAAAGTAAAGAGAAAATAAAGAGAAAGTAACTAAGCTGATGTCCTGTCCGTTCGTTCACCAAACAAATACGCTACAATAAATTAAAACTATATTAAAACATTACCAACATTTTTTGCCCCCCCCTGGATAGTTAATCGATTTTTTGCCCCCCCCCCCCTAGAAAGTTTTCTGTGGGCGCCCATGGATCACGATTATTCATTCGTGAATGTCCATACAAATGTTAACGCTGATATTTAACTCTAAAAATCGGTTTAACTTTTCAATATTTAAAGACTTCCCATTATTCGTTGGTATAAATGATAAAATCGAGCCATTCAAGAGCTTACCCTGGAAGAGTGAAGTGGTTTATGATCAAATCTGTTTTGATATTGGTCCAGGAAGAGGTCAGTATTGCCGATTGATTGAACCAAGATGACCATGTGGAAGACTTGCCATCAAATTCGATGGACTTCATCTCCACGCCTTCAGTGTAGAATGCAAACTTCACCTTTTTGTACACCGTGAAAATAACATTAAAAAACCATGAACATGGCAGGGCCGGCGCCAGGTGTTATTCGAAATGGACGATTGACCAAGGATACGCCCAAGTGACGGCCCCGCGCTTAGCCCGCCCTTATAATATTTTATATTATTAATTTAGCCAGTTCTCGCCTATTAATATTTCGTAATTTCCAGTCAACAGAATTTTAGCAGATATATGGTAATAAAATTATAAGAATGTGCTTTTCCCTGTACATTCCCTCCAAGTTCAACCACGAGAGACCGCACAGTAAAAATGAAACTGCTGGTCTTGCAAACCACTAGTTAGGGATTAAATCTTGCTAGCCTTGTAATTATTACATTCATCATTTACAACGCAATCTAATGCTGAATTTAATGGTCAAATCTCTAGCAGTTAAAAGAACCAAAAAAAAAACAACCCAACAACAACAAAAAAAAGCAAAAAAAAAAAAAAAAAAAAAAAAAAAAAAAAAAAAAAAAAAAAAAAAAAAAAACCAAAATAATTTAATGGTAAAATATCAAGCAGTTAAAAAAAACAAAAAAAAAACAACCCAACAACAACAAAAAAAAGCAAAAAAAAAAAAAAAAACAAAAAAAAACGAAGACAATAAATGTACAAAAATAATCCCAATACTTGTGCCAAATAATTTTCTTTTAACAAGAAATTCTCACCAAATCTTATGTGGAGAAGCACAATATCATTAATGGGGGGAAAATCTGACTGATCTTTCAGTGCCAAAGGATAATATATTTTATCAATTTTTTTAATGAAAATACTTTGAAGCTTATCATGTACCAAAGGGAATACGTATATGATCTGTAAACACTTTTATAAATATCTGATTGACTTGTTAATGTTTGGTTTGGAATAATTACCTTATTGATGATTGTTAATTATTAGCTGATTAATGAAAAACGTTAATTTCTATAAGGTTTAGAGTGGTGCTGCTGCCAGATGAACAATGTTGACCTTAAGTCATCTGTCGAAAACATCTCGGATAGAACTTTAAAACACAACAAAATTGTTTCAAAATTTCGATACATTCACTTTAATTTTAGACCTAAACCACATTTTTTGAATACCAAGTTTCAAGTTAGTTTATATTTCCTATATCTGAAAATGTATATTTTTTGTATCTCCCACAATTGTGCACTGTTTCATACAACAACATACTGAAAAATACATAATTTAACTCAAAATGAGATGTTGTATGCAGACCTTGTCAATATTTATCCAGTTGTCAAGAATGTAGCTCCTAAAATGTTGATTGCAGTTGCCGAGGTTATCCAGTCGATAGCATTCAATAGGGAACTCATCCGATAGTGGATTGTCATTATGGCTGCCATTGGCCAAGAACACATCATAGAAGGACTTGTTTATTTCTTTTTGAGCCCTGAAAACCATTGTCCAGTTTCCGAATTTGACTAGAGTAAAAGTAATAAATTTGTTATTTTCATTTAAAATTAAAAAAAAAATACATTTGAGCTGAAACCATTTCTATCCTACACACATTTTATCATATGTGACAAAGACAAACTCACTCAGGTCATCCTTATAAAGAATCCTCCATTGACTATCACTGGCCCAGCTGACGGTACTGTCATAGATTTTATCCTTGAATGTAATGCATTTGTTTTGGACACTGCTATAGGTGGCGCTTTCACATAGTCCAGAACAAAGATTGGCGCACATTACCAGGGAAACGTCTAATTTAAAAAGATCATAACCAGAAAAGAAGAGGTTAGTGCATAGATCTATTTGTTATTTTATCAAACAATTTGATTTCTATATGAATTTGCAAGTATTTTATTTCACGTCGTATTTAAATTTCATACTCCTCAAAATTTCAGAACATCAAGGTCAAAATGTATAATTATTTTCGGGTTGATAAACTTACTTAAGGCATCTTACTTATGAAAGTTATAAATTCATTGGCAAAGCTGGAGTTCGGATCGCCCGGCGTGATCCGTGATTTAACTGCCCCTACACTAACGAATACTAAAAAACTAGAGGCCGGACGAATTTCGGTTTCCTATTTCGGTTTAGGCGCCGAAAGTTGTCATACGATCATTTTCGGCGAAGTTTCGGTTTGGGACGAAACAAGAAAGTTATCTGACTCTTTATTTTTGGTTTCGTCCGGCATTGATCTAGGCTTTTAGGGGGTCTACCAGAAGACATACTCTCACTCTGCTTGTCTGTCGTCCGGCAATCCGATATTCATTATTTCTTGGACGTCTTGCAGTCATATTATGATATATGACTAGCCTCTGCGAACGCAGCTCACAGCTGCATAATAACCTACTTGTACAAATTTTCAAAAATATAATTTCAATTAAGGTTAGGCAAAGGTAAATAGCTTTGGGAAAAAAGAAGGGGGGGGGGGAGGGAGGGAATTAGGGAATTGTAATTTTTTAATTTAAAAAAAAAGTAAAATATGGAACACTAGGTTTATTCAATTAATTTATTTGTGACATACATTTTTATTTTATCATTATCATGCCCATAAATATTGTCATAGGCAAAGGTGAGTAGCATTGTGAAAAACAAAATTCTAGGGAATGGTAACATTTCTACATGTATTTATTAATGTTGTTTCAAATTTTTAAAATGACAATTAGAGAACCATAGACTTTATCACTTCATTTATTTATTGACATTAATCTTATTATGATTATTAATTTTGTTAATGACAACATAATAAAATGTTAAAGTATCACAACAAATTAGTCACGTTTTACAAACGTAAAAAAAAAAATGATGATGAAGGTTTAGTAATATAAAAATATAAATATTTATTTCCTGTTTTATACTTAGGAATTTAATAACGTTTATATGTTACGCCTATACACATGTGTGCATGGATCACCATTTCGTAAAATAATTATGTAGCTGGCCTTCTTTATTATCCTACTAAACCTATCTTAGGATCCCTACCGACGCAACAAACTAGTGGGAGAGTATGCTGAGATCTGTTGTTACGGAGCTCCAAATTTGTTTCTTTGAGTTCAATTAATCAATTAACTCTGAATGAACTCCCATTTAATGACTCTTACTGCAAGTGTAGGTTCGTAATGATTAACACTGGATTACTGTCTGCTAAGGCAGACCATCGCTTGCGACGTTTTCCTATTCTAATGTATTTGCATTCCGCTGGCACGCTAAGTTCCTCTGCTATCTGTCTCACAGTGTCCTGGCACGCTAAGTTCCTCTGCTATCTGTCTCACAGTGTCCTGGCACGCTAAGTTCCTCTGCTATCTGTCTCACAGTGTCTTGGCACGCTAAGTTCCTCTGCTATCTGTCTCACAGTGTCTTGGCACGCTAAGTTCCTCTGCTATCTGTCTCACAGTGTCTTGGCACGCTAAGTTCCTCTGCTATCTGTCTCACAGTGTCCTGGCACGCTAAGTTCCTCTGCTATCTGTCTCACAGTGTCTATGGAAGCAGAAAATCCAGTATCTCGGATTTTTTCCAAATATTCACACAGCAACTGCTGATCAGCTTGTTCCAAATGACGAGATCAGACGGTTTGCTCTGCAGCGATTTGCAGACGGTGTTTATTTGGCTCAAGATGTGATACTAGACGATTGTGGAAACAATGAATTTAAAGTCACCAAGCTGCTCAGCCAAAGTGCCGGCTTCGTTTCTAATCTTCGTATCACCATGTAATGGTTCTTCAGAGATTACGAACAACGCTTCTCTGACCTCTTCCAATTGGTGTCTCAATGGTCGCAGACTGCCATTCTGCATTCCCAACGGGTTTAGCTGATAGGCTTTATGGTCAAATTGGGAACATGGTCTTTTAAAGTAGCCCAGTGGGTGTGGTGACGAATAGAAAACCACATGCACACGCTTTAACACATCGTGGATTCACATGACGAGCTGGCAGCATCTGCAACCGCCAAGTTCAAACTGTGGCAGGCACATGGTACAAAGAATGCAAGTGGATTAATGTTTATAATCCTCGACTGGACTCCTGCGTTCTTACCGATCATGTTTGCACCGTTGTCGTATCCCTGTCCACGACAGTCCTGAATATTTATGAACATCTCGTCGAGCCCAGCCCTAGGCTGGGGTACCGTGCTATATAAGACTACTACTACTACTACTACTACTACTACTACTACTACTACTACTACTACTACTACTACTACTACTACTACTACTACTAGTACTACTACTACTACTACTAATAATAATAATAATAATAATAATAATAATAATAATAATAATAAATTAGTAACTCTCCAGCTTTCGCAGAAATGTCTCATTAAGGTATTCGCCTGCTGTTGAATCTACGCTTTCATAGCCGACAAAGGGTTCTCTTATTCGCACATCTCCGTTGTTGTCGTAAACGAAGCGGACAGAGACGATATCTTATATGTGACTGACATCACGCGTACAGTCCAAGATGATGGAATGATATAATTTGGATAATTTAATCACTTTAGAATAATTTTTCTCTCCCCCCCCCCCAATAAAAAATTTGGGCGCCTCAATTAGACGAGGCCCCCTGCAGCTGGCGTGTTTGCAAGGCCAACGCGACGGCTCTGTTGGCACCCTGCTTTGATGGCACCCTGCTCTTGTATATGACTTAGATCTATTACCGGTTATGAAATCCACTTGATTGAATTCTGTAAAATTTACTATTTTCCATTTGATTTAAAACCCATTTAGGGGTGTCACGAGGGGCAGTACGCAACCCTTAACCCCCTAGTGACGTCATTGATTATGCTCAAAACTTTAAAAGATACAAAGGCTTCAAAATTGCTCACTTGCAAGCAATCAAAAAGTTGCTGCCCTTTGCAAGGACCTACCATCGCGAACAAGGATCTTTCCCTCGGCCCTAAGGAACTTAGAAACAACGCTTAGAAAGCGGTTATTTAATCCAAAAGACATTATCCAAGATGCTCTGATATAATATGTGTTATATATATATATATATATATATATATAAATATATATAAAGCCCTATTTTATTATTACACGAAATGGAAGTTAATTTCTATAAAAGTTGAAGTGAAAACTTTTTCAAAGAAATTATTATGTTCAGTATTCAGGGTTTATATAAGGTAGCGAATTTATTGTTTACTTTTAAAATCCTTTATATTAACTTCGTTTTCGTTCATGGCTGGTTATGTGGCAAAATCTTCGGACGGCTCATTGACCCACTGCCCGTGAGCATATCGTTCTGAACCGTGACACATATACTTGTGGCCAATGACAACACATACTATCAAATTTTCAGCCCCATCCCATACCCCTACCCCCAAAAATCAGTCTTTAAAATAGTTTTTCAAAAGGAATATGTAGGAAATCTGATTTCACGAAATAAATTCCGGATAACCGCTAAACCGGGTGAGTCATTAGATTTTTAATTCAGTACAGGGGCGTGAAAAAAATGTGCAGTTTTTAGACATGAGGGGGAGGGTAGCATTAATTGGGATTCTTATAAAGTGCGTTACTTGTATGGATGTTTTGTCAATTGTTTTCAGCCCCGCCCCCTAAATTGCTCGAGTTCCATTTAGTAAAGGATTGATAGGAAGAACTTTATTTTTGACGGGTTGTTTAATTTCAAACTCACTTGTGTCTGTCAAAGAACGTAGAGGCGTCCCATTCAGTAGTTTGTATCCATTACGTGTCTTAAATCTATGCGTCTCCAAATGACCAGTCGTCTCCGACACATAATATGTGGTCAACAGCAGCAATACAAGATGAAACATTGTGATCGAGGAGAAAATGCACAATATGTTGTTTTTTTCTAAAATTATAAGTCAAATGTTTTGTTTTTTTTGGAAAATCAAAACATAAAAAAGTTATATATCTTTTTTAAAGTTATTTTCTTTTCTAAACTAGATAAAGTCTAGATAAAAATTTAGTTAAATTTTCGTTTATTAGTTGGGCGTGATGGTAACTGTGCGCAAAGAACTTCAAGACAAGACCAACTTGATACTATAAATCTACGGGTGAGACTCAGCGGTCAAGTCAGTTGCTGTAAATAGAAACAGTATGATCAGTGGTGTAGATAGAGACAGTATAATCATGGGTGTAAATAGAAATAGTATGATCAGTAGTGTAGTCAGGGCTAGTGCCGTCCGTGGCTGGTCAAAATTTTCACCGCCCCCTTTCCACGAAAAAGCTCTGCATCTGACTGAAAATGCTACCCCTCCACATAAAGAACACCCCCTTTATACAAAACTGGGTATAATGCTATTGGGGATATTTCTAGCTAGAAACAAAAACTAAAATAATAATAATATTTTTTAAAGTACAATTATCTTGAAACGAAACAAAAAGCTTATACTCACCACCATTTTAGAACATATTCCTTTTACACTAAAACATTACCATTGTATCCTTACATAGTCTAAATACAAAAAATGTATACTTTAGAACGAGTGTATCAATTTAAACATAACCTAAAGTTTTAAGCCGCTAAAACTGTGCTTTAAGACTAGGCTACATATCCTACATTTCTGTAAGCCTTTGAAGGCTAAGTTTCAAATTTGAACCATACCAATTGACCCGTAGTCAAAAGCTCTTATCATTGGACTCACCAATGGTTATATATATATAATGGTTATA